GTGATTGAGGAATGTTATGTGGTTGTCAGAACTTGCTGATAAGAACAATAAGCTAGGTATGATATAGAAAAGCCAAGGGCCAAGGATGGGGAGGGTCAAATATAATGCAAGAGAAGATAGGAGTGACTGTGAGGGGGCTAAATATGGGGAATTAAACTTTGGAGGCAGAGTTTATGTGTTTGGAAAAAGAATAAAGAAATAAATTAATGGTATTGTCTCGGGGCTTTGAGGCAAAGGAGCTAGATACAGCATTGAGACAAGGGAGAGAGCCTCAATATCTATTAAATCATGCAGTTCGCTTTTTTTTTTTTTGGTACTAGGGATCAAATTCAGGACCTTGCAGTTGTGAGGCAGGAACAAATATACAAAAGCAACAACATAATAAACACAGGAAACCATAAAAGAATATCACATACTCTCATATAAGTAAATAAATCAAGAAACACACAAAATATTAATCCTATAAGATGTCTGTTAGGAACACAGATTTAATATTCCAATGAGACCTTGCATATGTGATTCCCAACTAGCTTATGTGCTTGAGAGTCTGACAGCTCACACCCTCAAGACTCCTCTTATCCCTCCACTGTAATGTTGAAGTCAGCTCTCAGACTCAGGACTTCTTTGTGTCAGACTGCAAGAATTCTTGCAAAGCTTAATTCAGTCTGAGTTCTTGGGTTAGGAATTCTTGCTTCCCTCTCCCTTGGTGTGATGGTGGATTAGGCAGACACTTTCATTGCCATGAAACTGCCCACTATATCAGGATTATTCCTATGCAATCAAATCAGCTATAACATTTACAGGCGAATCCATTACAGTGATATCTATCAGGGCTAGTTGAGAACATGCCATAAGATCCTGTTTTGTGTATTCCTTTAGCCTAGAAACCCCTGGTTATAGTGTAAGCACCATAACAACCCAAGTCTTGATCCACAGTTAATGTGCACTAAGTGTTATAGCTGTGGCTTCTCTAATCAGGAAAACAACATTCAACAATAATTTTATAGAATAATTTCTTGAAAGCCCAGGGAGTTGGGGACTAGGTAATGCCGGGGAGGGGGCAGAAGAGGAAAAAAAGGCTTAAAAAATGTCCTCTGCTCTGTGGTATGGGAAGCAGGAAATATGAGAGAGGCAAAGAATAGTAATGATGGTAAGGGTATATTATATATTTAGAAGGGGATAACAGGGAAAATGGTACAAAATTGGTACTGATGGGCTGGGGATTTAGTTCAGTGACAACACACCTGCCTCATAAGAACAAGGTCCTGTGTTCAATCCTTGGTATCCCTACCCCCCCAAATTGGTAGTGATAGGGTATAAAGGGACAAGGGAAAATTCCCGTAGGCTCTATAAACTATATTGGGACAAAAAAGGCAAACTGAAGAGAAGCCCATATACACGGACATACTCATAAAAAAGGATAAAATAATGGAATAAAAGTGTGGGGGGAAATGTACAGAAGAGGGGAAACAGCAAAAAATAAACTTTAAAAAAGTAAAATAAAAATGAAAAATAATACAGTAAAAAAAAAGTTTTCTATTGTTTTGCACACATGGCTGTTTTCCTCAGCCTAGAATTAAGGAGCAGAGCTCAAGCTAGGATGTGTCTCTGTTCACACTGGAAGTCATGGCAGTCTGTCCCCAGAACAGTGATGATAACTCTAAGAGATCTGCTTACAGTGAGAACACAGAACCAAAGTATAATTCTACTTCTGTGTAACTCAGGCTGAACCTGGCCTCTAACTGCAGGAGCCAGATCTTCGTTCAACAGCCCATGCCTCACAGCAGGAGTCCTTCCAGTCTGCTTTCCAACTGCTGGCAGTCTCCTGTGATTGTCTTTTGCTTGACTCTGGGAACTTGGCAGGGTGAAGCAGTCGAGGGGTTGCTCTGGGGGCTAGGTTCAAATACTCAGCTCTTCCCTACAATAGTATCCTTGCCAGCTTTTGTTCTGCAGTTTTACTTGCAAGTACTTGTACTGAGGTCACTCACCAACTGTTGATTGTGAAAGGCCACTCTGGAAGCAGTGTCCCACATTTTTCTTGTTGGCTCCAATTGCAGGTTATTCTTTTGGTCCTGATGCAGTTCTCCTGTTCTGTGAGCAAAAAATTGTTAGTTTCACTTTGTTTTCCAGCTCGTGGCTAGCCAGGCACTGTTGCCAGCACTGCATAGTCTCGCCTCCATGGTGTGATCTATTTCTTCAGTGTCACTTAATCCTATTTTCTTCCCTCATGGTTCCTAGGTTCTCTACTCACTTCAGTTCTTCTCCTACCTACTGTTTTCCAGACTCTAGATACTGTGTCCTGGAGTAGCTGAGTTACTTGCCCTCACTGCTGCACCATTTTGGGACTCCACAGATTTGGGCTACTATAATAGATATGTGTTGGTGTCTCACTGTTTTATAAATTTGCAATTATCTAATGACACATGATGTTGAATATCTTTTCACATGTTCATCTGCCATCTGTACTTTTCTCTTTCCTTAGGCATGTTTAAACCTTTTGCACTTTTCTTTTTAAATGAAAAAAATTTTTTTGCAGTGTTGGGGAATGAATCAAGGGTCTTTTTTCTCTAATTTTCATTAGTATGTGTTTGTGATACATAATAAATATATGGCTGGTGGAGGAATTGGTACATACACACATTACATCTTGATCCTTTTTACTTCCCCTTCTCCCACCTCTCTCCTATCTTCTCCTATCCTCAGACTCTGCTGCCATCCTTTCAAAGAACAAATTCTTTCATTCATTGATCCTTTGGATTGCTTTTTAGTCTCAACTTCATTAATACCTTTCTGATCTTTACACTTTCCTGTCTTCTATTAGTTTCATATTTGGATTGTTCTTATCTTTCTAAGACCTTGAGATGCATTATTAGGTTACTTGGGATTGCTCTATTCTTTTATGTGTACATTCATAGCTATGAACCTACCTCTTAGACCTCCTTTGTGTCCCATAAATGTTGGCATGTTGTGTTTCCATTGTCATTTGATTCTAGGTACTTTTTAATTTCTTCGAGTTCTTCTGTGACCCCTTGATTATTCAACAATGTATTATTTTATCTCTTTGTGTTTGCATAGTTTCTGTAGCTTTTTTTTTTTTGCTGTTGCTTTCTAGCTTCATTCCACCATGATCTAAAAGTATACAAAGAATCATTTCAATTCTTTGGCATTTATTTAAGCATGCTTTACAGCCTAAGAGGTGGTCTATTTTGAAAAGAATTCTGTATATCACTGAGAAAAGTGTGTAGTCTGTTGCCATAGTCTGTCAAGTCCATTTTTTCAGTGATGTGGTTTAACTTTGATATTCCTTTGTTTATTGTTTTTGTCTGGTTGACCTAATTATAACAGTGGGATATTGAAATTCCCCATTATAATTGTAATGGTTTTTAATCTGTCCTTTTAAGTCCCCCAGTTTTTGTTTTATGAAGTTGGGTCTGTTGATGCTTGGTACATATATTTACAATTGTTGTCTCTTCTTGTTAAGTTATTCACTTTAACAGTATTGAACCCAGAGTCTTGAACTTGCTAGGCAACACTCTACTTTTGGGCTATATCTTCAGCCTCATGACCAGTTTTAAAAATTGTGCTATTTACTTTCTTATTGTTCAGTATGTATTCTATGAATATTTTCTTTCAGTCTACGGCTTATTTTTTCATTAACATTATATTTCAAAGAATACATTTTTTTGTGTGTGATGCTGATGATTGAACCAAAGACTTTCAAATTAAGCTATATTTCAGGTTTCCCAGATGGGGCTCAAACTTGTGATCCAGCTGCTTCAGCCTCCCAGAATGCTGGGATTACAGGTATGTATATACCAATGTTCTTGGCTTCAGAGAAGAGAAAATTTAAAGGAAATTTAACTTACCAATTTTTATTTCATTAATTAATGTATCTAAACAGTCATCACTAAAGCCAGTGTCACCTACATTTTCTCCTGTTATCTTCTACAAGTTTTATGTTAAATGTGAAGTCTGTCTCTACATTAATTTTTTTTTTGCATGTGAATGTCCGGTTGTTCCAGCATCATTTGCTGAGAAGACTACCCTTTGTCTACTGAATTGTTTTTGCTCCTTTGCCAAAGAACAGTTGACTCTACTGGTGTGGGTCAAATTCTGGGCATTCAACTCTCTTCCATTGATCTGTTTCTTTCACCAGTATCACACTTGATTACATAATTTTATAATGTCTTTAAATCAGGTAGTGTTAGTTTTCCAGTTTTGTTCTTCATCATTATTGTGGTAGCTATTCTGGGTCTTTGCATTTCCATACAAACTTTTAAAAAGTATAATCATTTATTTTCCTCATTCACAGCACAATCTATTGCAGGCTGAGTGGCTCTCTTATAAATGTAGACTCAGGGATCCGGGCTCCTTCTGTCTGTGAGGTAATTTTCTTCAATGCCTACCCTCAAAGGTTGTAATATCAACAGAGAGGTTGGAGGAGTGTACAGTGGAGATGATCAGGCAACCACCTGTTTCTCACTCAAAACTGGAATGACAAAATTCAGAACACTCTTGACAGGTGTTTCCGTAGGACACTTAGACAACACTTTTCCAACTGCCTGTTTCTCTACTGAGACCCAGAAATAGCGGAAGTGATAGGAGGTATAGGTGTGGTACGGAGTTGACCCAGACTGGCCACGTGCAGGCGGTGGCCTGGCCAAGATGGGGGAATGGCTGCTGTGGGCACCACTGGGGACCCTGCCCGCATCTGTTTTGTCCTCGCCTGCAGCAATGGGTTCTTCTGGTTCTGAAGATACTGGCCTCCTTTTCCTCCTAGAATCCATCCAGTCATCCTGTTTCCTCACTTGACCTCGTCTTTGGACTCCGGCCACCGCCAGACTGAGGACCATCTCTGCGCCTACTTCCTCTCCTCATGGTGTCTGCCCTCCCAGTCATTTGACCTGAGACATCCTCGGCGAACACCGCTGCCATTCTGGCGGGGACCCAAGCGTGGTGCTCAGCGACTGCGCAGTAAAAACCTGGTCCATTAGCCGGTGTGTAATCGCCCTTTTAAACAACGTTGCCCTTTTAAACACGCACTCAAGGCGCACGCGCAGCTGTCTCAGGCGCGCAGGCGTAGAAACCACGGCGGATGTTTACGGCGGCTGAGTACGGAGCGGCAAGAGGGCCACGAACGCTCTGGAGTACCTGCTGTCGGGTCCTGCACCGGCGGGCCGTGGAGCACGATCGCTGAGGTAGAGCCCGTCCCTTGGTCCCTCTCCCCTACCCTGGTACCCAGAACGCTGGGCCGCCCCTGTGGGGGCGTTCCCTGCAAGACGCCCCCAGTCTCTTCTCCAGGAGCCCCGCCCACCGCATCTCTTCCTGGCGTCACCGCTCTCCCCCGCGGGAACCCCGCCCCCGGCATCGCGCCCAGCATCTCCTCTCATCTTCTGTGGGAGCTCCAACTCCTGCATCTTTCACCAGTGTCTCCTCTCCCCCTCTTCGGGAACCTCGCCCCAGGCATCTTCCCCAGCATCTCCTCCCCACTTCTCTCGGGAGCCCTGCAGCATTTTTCCTATTACCCTGCAGCATTTGCTCTCTCACCCTGCTTCATTTGCAGTCTCAAGGTCTGACTCTAGACTGGTAGGTTATCTCTAGGTAGGAATTTTTTTTCCCCCAGCTAGCTCTCAGGCAAGTCAGGAATTCACAGTGTTTGAAACAAATTCTACCTTCCTTAGACTTTTTAAGAAGTCCCTGAGAAGAGTATTGGCTGGAGCACTGTGAAATGATCTTGAGCAGCTGGGGAGAAGAACTTACCTGGGCTTGGTCCCTTTGGATTTTAGGTGCTGTGCCTCTTCCCTCAAATTACCCCAGTATCTGACTCTGCCCTCTTGTGCCTGCAGGGATTGTCTTTGTTCCTATCGGCAAAGGAAGTACTAAAACAGATTACTCTGTTGTGGTTGCTTGGTGGGCTGTCATTCAAGAATGAGGGAAGTTGAAGGGCCTATAAAGGCTGAGAATTGTGACTGCGGTTGGGGGAATGGGATTTGGCCTTACCTATTGTGGGATCTTCACTGGGATCTGCCCAGGAGTGCTGTGATAAAAAGCTCATTTCATTTTTTTGCAATTCCAGTTGTTAGCCTTTCTGTGTGTTTTGTAGGAATTCTATCCACACAACATGTACCAGTGGTCAGGCTTTTGTCCACAACTAGGGACTACAAATAGTGTACAGGTGGCAGCCTTACCCTGCCCTTATAAGAGATCTGGTTTTCAAAATGAGAAGTCTCCATTTTTTCTTTAGTCTGCCCATAGAATGTATTGTTTTGATTCCTTTTTCCCAGCTGGTCCTCCACATGATACTATCTTTAGGTAGTGACATCCAGGTTGGACTGTGAGCCTTCTTGTGTAGTCTGCCAAACTCAGCACAGATCAGAATCGGCAGCCCCTTTACCACGTCTTTGCTTGTGTTGACACAGCTTCAGTCACAGCCTCCATCTGCCAACCCTGAGATATTCCCATGCTGCTGCAGCTTTCCTGTGCCATGAAGTAGTGTTGAATTATGTGAGTTATTGCTACGTAGGGGCTATAGTATTACAGCAAATAGTAAAGAGCAAAGTATAATAAGAGGCACAGCCTGAAAGTGCTTCTTCATCATTACCTTGAGAAACTGTATTTGAGTGGATTGCAGATCCTGGTGTACTGATAGGATTTGGTTTAGTGAGGATGTGTCTTGACTGTGTTGTAGGTATTTTTGGTGGCATGGTGACAGTCATATGTGTGTCAGCAGTAAAGCAGTGACCTTTCTGTATGAGGGAGTATTAAGTTATCAGACAAAGCTAGTTAGTAGAAAATATCAGACCTAGCCAATGTTCGCCTACATCCTGCCAATGGCATTAGATAGGGTTTACCCTGATTGTCAAGAGATTACTAAGATGTTGTATGTAAAGAATTTTGCTCCCTTGAACATTTTTTATAAGCTTCTTTAATATGTAAAAAACACAGGTCTTTGGATAGACAGTCCTGGGTTTGATTCTAGCCCCCTTTCACGCTGGGTATGTTTTTCCTTTTGTGAAGTTTGAGGTTGTGACTGAAAGGTAGCACCTATAGAAAGGTGGTACCTGTTTTATGAAGCCATCCTTTTGATATGAAATAAGCTTTCAAAGTAAGGAAAAGTTTAAGTGATACTTAATAGAAAATGAAGTGTGCCTAATATATAGTTTATGTTACCTTCTAACGATAAAATGGTAAGATTGAGATAGAATAAAATCATTTTATACAGCATTTTGATGAAGAGGTGGCTTTTCTTGACCTGCCATTCAGTAGGCTATGTGACTGTAAGGTCTTTTGCTAAGTAGACCCTGAAGCATCCAAACTTATGACTAGTGACCCAAAGTAGGCTAGGCTAGGGACATAGCCTCAGAGCTAAGGGGTTTATCCAAGATTACACTCAACCTCATTAGCACTTAATTCCATCCATGTGTGTTAACTAACCATGGACTGTCAACGAGAGATCTGAAACAGCGTAAAAAGGAGGTGACAATTTAATAATTGAATGGTGATACTCAGTTCTCAAATCTTCGTTATGAAGACTGACTGTTCTACCATAAAACAGAAGAGAATTTGAGTCAAACTTATCTTCACACATTTTATTTTGTTTACCTGTTGTAAGCTGAATATTTACAGGATGATTTATTTTCCTTATTTTAAAACAGTCTTTATTTTTATTGACCTTACAGTTAACATGTTTGCAGTACATAGCGATTACATTCATTGTGGGGAGTTGGTTCATGAATATAACACATCTCAATTCTTCTTCATTCTTCAGTCAGCCTCCTCCCTCACTGTTGCCAGTTGGTTAGATGGGTGTCCTGGAGCCTCTCCCTGGGGTTTCTTTGTGACTCTCATGCTGCTGTGAGAGACCAAAAAGACTGTGAGGAAAGGGTCATGGAACTGTACAGTAATAGCATTGTGATAGGTTGTTAGGGGACCCTGATGCAGAAAGTGTATCAGGCTTCATAAGGTATGGTGGCCTTTTTCCAAGCAGCATATATCATTGTCACTGTGTGTTGTATGAAGTAAGGCTATCACTTTAGAAAAGTCATCTGGGGTCAGTGTAAAATTGAGAAGGATGTTTTTATAGTTCAGGAAGAGTAAAGGAACAGGTAAAAGAATTATTTCTCTGTGCACTATATGAGGGCATTTTTTGTTTGTTTGTTTTTTGGTGGTGGTGGTGGAGGTGGTACTGGGTCTTGAATTCAGGGCCTTGTGCATGCTGGGCAAGTGTTCTATTACTGAGTTGTATCTCCAGCCCCTTAAATTTTAATTTTGAGTATTTTGAGACAGGGTCTTCTTACATTGCTTAGACTGGTCTCAATTTCTCAATTTTGAGATCTTAACCTCTTAAGGATTATAGGCATGCACTACTGTCCCTAGCTCAGAAATAAAATGTACCAATAAATTTAATAAAGATATAAAAAAGAAATATACTTTTTTTTTTTTTTTTTTTTTTGGTATTTGGGATCGAACTCAGGACCTTGCACTTGTAGGGCAGGCGTGGCACCACTGAGCGAAATCCCTGGCTCAGAAATATACTTTTGAGAGAGCTGGGAAAACTACACAGCACACGCTTTGGGAATAGGAAGTTGTGATAGAATGCCCTCTACTCCTAAGCTTTAGCCTTGAAACTGATTTTGTGTTTGTTAGAATAAGGTGTTTGCCATATGTGTTCTTTTTGGGAAGAGCTTTGTTTTTATCCAAAATTTGGATTATCAGAATATCCATGTCAACAGATGTATGAAATTTTGACTTAGGTTTAGCATTCACGTATATGTTGGGATGAAGAGTTCTGATTAAATTTAGGGTACCACTTAAATTTGAATTTCAAATAAGTGTTCAGTAAGTTTTTAGTATTTGTTGGCTTGAATTTCTGATTAAACTAGGATTTTCTTATAAATCTGGCATCTTTGGAGGGTGGGGTAGTTGTTGACAAAAAGATATTCCATCTCTGTTATTTTTAGAATTCAGAATTTGAAAGTTATGTGTTTTTAGAGCCTTTATTATTCTGCCTCTTATTCTTTATATAATAGTTCTCTAACTTTTAATTGCAGTCTGTCCTAAGTGTGATCTTGAACATGGGCGGTGCTGTGAGTGCTGGTGAGGATAACGATGAACTGATCGATAATTTGAAAGAAGCACAGTATATCCGTACAGAACTGGTGGAACAGGCTTTCAGAGCTATTGATCGTGCAGATTATTATCTGGAGGAATTTAAAGAAAATGCTTACAAAGACTTGGCGTGGAAACATGGAAACATTCACCTTTCAGCCCCGTGCATCTACTCAGAGGTGATGGAGGCCCTGGATTTGCAGCCGGGTCTCTCGTTTCTGAACCTGGGCAGTGGCACTGGCTACCTCAGTTCCATGGTTGGCCTCATTTTAGGTGAGTGTGGAAGAAGGGTCTGGAGCTTGTCCACACAGAACCAGGCTGACTGCATGCCCTGGTAGAGACTGTGGCCTCCAGCAGCTGACTGAACCTTGATCACTGCGTAGTAGGTGGCTGTCGGCCCTTGAGTTCTCGGGGAGTCTTTTCCTGTTTCCTGTCTCCTCCCATCTGCACCTTTGTAGTCTGTTATGCTTTGGGAAGGCCAGGAAAGAGGTGTAAATCTTTGTTTTTTTTTCATTAAGTTTGTTGTATTTTTCAGGTATACAGTACAATTATATTTATCATTGGAATCTTGGACCTTTACACAGCGTTTCTTGGTTCTTATTTTTTCCCCATTCCCCTGCCCTCTCTTCACCCCCTCTACCCTTACCTATTTACAAAGTCTTTGTCTCCATTTTTCCCTTTTCTCGTATTTTTTCTTTTCCCTTAAGAGGTGTAAATCTTGATCTTACATGTTTCTTGGTTTAATCTAATCAATCCCTGGCACCACACCAGAAAAAAAAAAGCACTTTTTCTTTTGCTTCTTTTCTCCACCCAAGGTCATTACAGTCCTTTTAGGGTTGAAGTTCTTTCAAGCAGTTTGTTTTTTTTTTGTTGTTCAATACTAAAAGAGTAATATCCATACATTTATATGTTTTGAAATAAATTTTAGGGATAAGAGGGATTTCAGAATTATCTTAACTTGAAGCCACTTAAGCTGTTTTCACAGATAAGTTGTGGGAATGGACATGGGAATAGAGCCATTTTGGTATTAACAGCTGTATCAATAACCAAAGATTTATCACATTCTTTCCTTGTGTAAAAGTGGCACAGGGGAAGGATGCCAGCTTTTGCTTTGAATAAGGTGGGATGGATTTTCCAGAGGAGAGAAAGATGACGATGGGTGCTGTGAAAGACTTCTCTTGAGGAGGAGTGGCGGCTGGGCTGCTGCAGCAAGCTGGACGGAGACCTGGGAACTAACTAGTGGTTCTGTATTTTTGTAGTTTTAAATTTTATTTTGTTTATGTGCATGGTTCTGGGGATTGCACCCAGGGCCTTCATGATACATCCCCATCCAAGCCTCTTATATTTTGAACCCAGGTCTTTCACACTGAGCTGTATTCGTCAGCCCTTTTTATTTTTATTTTTTAAGATAGGATCTCACTGTGTAGTTTAGGCTGACCTTCAACTCACTGTGTAGCTCAGGCTGGCCTCAAAATCATGGAGATTCTCCTGCCTCAGCCTCCAAAGTGTGGGATTATAGTTGTGGTACAATGCATGACTCCACCCTTTTAAATTTTTATTTTGGGACTGGGTTTCACTAAGTTGCTAAATTGCCCAGGCTGGAATTTATCTTGGGATCCTCCTGCCTTCTAGAGTGCTGGGATTATAGTATGTACCACCATGCCTAGCTTGCAGCTGGTAATTTTGATGTTGGAACTGATGTGTCACAATTAACTGCAGAACAAATGGTGCAAGAATTCTTGGCCTTAATTCTAAAAGCTTTCTTATTCTCAAACTTTTAGGTCCTTTTGGTGTGAACCATGGGGTGGAGCTTCATTCTGATGTGATAGAGTATGCAAAACAGAAACTGGACTTCTTCATCAGGACAAGTGACAGCTTTGACAAGTATGATCAGGCACTACCCATTGGGTCAGCAGGTTGAATTAGAAGTCAGTTTATTAGTGTGTATGCCAGCAAATGTGATTAAGCTATGGTTGGATGAACCTAGGTTATATGTGAGCCTGTTGTGATTCTTATTTTTTTAATATCATGGTTTTAAGGGCTTTAGACTTTGTAAACATGATACCTTTGTAAAGGTAATTTTCACCAGTATAATAAGAGTAAACAAAAATTTCATTTAGTTCAATTTTTATGTTTTTAATATAGCCACCTTTTAACACATAATTGTTTCTAAAATAAAATTGTTGTTTTTGTCTATGGATTGTTTATATGGTAGCTCCTGCTATTTTAAAGTAAGGCATTAAAGTTTTTATTTTAGGAATTAAAATTTTAAGAGAAACAAGATGTGCTTTTCTCTGCTAACTTGTTGAGCAGTAGATCTTATTTACTGTGATGAGCATTGTAAAAAGAAGAGCAATGCTTATGACAGTCACTTGTTTTGCTTTGAATTTCTAAGGTCTTATTTGTGTAGTTTTTTTGTTTTAGAAGTGTGGCTTCCAACTTCTGGCTCTGGAAACTTACATTGCTTTTGAATTTTACAATTAAGATATAACCTGGGTTTAGCGTAGATTTATTGTATGAACTTGTTGCAGTATGATGCATTTCGTTACAGAAAGAATTATTTTCCTTTCTAGGTTTGACTTCTGTGAACCCTCTTTTGTTACTGGTAATTGCCTGGAGATTTCTCCAGATTGTTCTCAGTATGATCGAGTGTACTGTGGGGCTGGTGTGCAGAAGGAACATGAAGAATACATGAAGAATCTTCTCAAAATTGGAGGGATTCTTGTCATGCCTCTGGAAGAGAAGGTTAGATGCCCTTCACAACTGACATTTTTATATACTCTGCCAGAGCCTCTTCCAGTTTATATATATTTATATTTATAACAGCTTCTAAGTTAGGAAAAATAGGTGAGGACAGGTATGGGAGCTTGTCTAGGTAACAACAGACCCTAGGTAGAGCCAATACCTGATCCATGTGCTGTGGCCCTTCTTTTGCACCTCCCTTCTCTCTCCTGTTTCCCTTTTCCTTCTCTCCTTTCTTCCTTCTCACTTTTTCTCCCTTCCTTTCTCCTTTCTTTTACCCTCCTTTTTACTGTAGCTCTTCTCATTTTTAATTCTGATTGTTATAATTGTTATAATATCAGAATTATATAGAAAACCATCAAAGTATTCTATTTTGTTAATCTACTTGTTAAATACTTTGATGGTAAATACTTTATAGGAATCCTTGTTTTGTGGGAATCTTGTCCAAGTTTACTGTTTGGTTTTATGATGTTGTGTTTCATTAAGCAAAATAGATTATAATTAAGGAGTAAATAAGTCAGACATAAATTGGTCACCAGGAAGAATTTCTCTTAGTCACAAAGAAGTTGGGAAAGCAGATATAATAAAAGAGAGTGAATTTTTTCAATATTTAGATGTTAGCATTTGTTTTGTTCAGAAAATGGTACTCAATTTAGAAAATAAAATATGAACATTAAGAAAAGCTGCTCACAATCTCTAACATTTATTACTATTAGTAATAAATAATAATCTTTTTTCAAAGATTATTTTGCATCCTAGTTTATAACTTAGTGTTTTATCCAAAAGAGTTTATGAATATCATTTTAAGTTATTTAATAGTTAATATCCATTTTGTGCCTGTCTGTTGAATTGTCAGGTTTATTAACTGGCTTCTGTTACTGAGCATTAGACTGTATAATATTTTGCTGTTACTGTTTTATAAAGGTATTACTGAATTTCTCTAAACAATTTGATCTATTATTTGAACGTTAGCTGTCAAAAAGGCTCCTTTTTTATTTTTGGTACTGGGTATTAAACTCAGGACCTCGAGGGGATTGAACTTGGGTCCTTGTGCTTGTGAGGCAGGCTGTGGTATCACTGAGCTAAATTCCCAGCCCATAAATGTACTTTTTTTTTTTCCGTACTGGGGATTGAACTAGGGACCTTGCGTTTGTGAGGCAGCCGGTGGAACCACTGAGCTAAATCCCTGGCCTGACCTTGCGCTTTTGAGGCAAGCACAGTGCCACTGAGCTAAATACCCAGCTCAAAGAGGCTCCTTTTTAAAAAATACATTATAAAACCATTATCAACCTAAAAAGTTAATAATTTTTTAGTATGTTCAAATATCCAATTCATGTTCAGATTTTCCTTGTTTCATATATTTGTTGGAAAGAAAAATCACATGTAAGGGTCATCTATTGCATTTGGTTGACAAATGTCTTTTTTTTTTTTTTTTTTTGTGGCATCGGGGGTTGAACTCAGGACCTTGCACTTGAGAGGCAGGCATGGTGCCACTGATCTAAATCCCTGGCTGGACAAATGTCTTAAGGGTTTTTTAATCTATAGGTTTTCCTTTGTAAAATATTTTTTATTAATATATGTTTGAGAAACGGGCATGGTGGTGCACTCCTGTAATCCCAGTACTTGGGAGGCTGAGGCAGGAGGATCGCTGTGAGTTCGAGACCAGCCTGGACTACATAGTGAGTTCCAGGTCAGTATCAACTACATAGTGAGACCCTGCCTAAAAAAAAAAAAGTTTGAGATTCTTTTTAGTCATTTTTTTTTGGTGCCTGGGATCGAACTCAGGTCCTTGTGCTTGCAAGGCAGGTGGTGGAACCATTGAGCTAAATCCCCTGCCCCTAGTAAGTTTTTATTTTTATTTTTTGTCATTTATTTTTTTCAAAGAATTAGTCATTTGTCCTGTATAATTTTCTGCAGTCTGGATTTTGCAGATTAAGTGATGTTTTGTATGTTCATCATCCTTTTTATATTCTATGTATTGGTAGTTAAGTGTAGAGATTTGATTAGGTTTATATTTGATATATTTTAGGGGAGAAGAGCCAAGAATATTTACCAGATATTTATATAGTCATCCCTTGGTATCTGCAGGGAATTGGTTCCAACACATCCTCTTTCCACCATCAGGATATTAAAATCTACAGATCTTCAAGTACCTTATAAAAAAATTCACAAAGAATATCATTGGCGTTTAAACTGTTCACATTCTCCACATACTTTTAAGTCCTCTCTAGATTATTTATAATACTTAATACAATGCAAATGCTATGTAAATTGTTTCCTACTGTATTGTTTAGGAAATAATGACCAAGAAAAAAGTTTGTGTCCAGAACATAGTGTTTTTTTTCTGAATATTTTTGGCACATGATTGTTTGAATCTGTGGAGGTAGAGACCTTGGAGACTGAGATACAGCTCTGTTGACATGGATAAGCACATCAAGCCATTGTCTCTTTTTTCTGATGCTTATGACATAGTTATGACTCTGATCCATTATTCATTAGGAATAATAGGAAGATACATTCTAATTCCATCATTTCTCTTATCTAGAAGGTGGGTTACTTTAAAAAGAAAAACCCTGTTACTGATTATTCTGAGGTATACTTTATACATGAGGGGTAGGATAAATCTTGATTTTTAACCTTTGCTTATTACTTTTCTCAATGATTTGGTTTTCTAGCATCTGCTAAAGGTAGTGACTACTGAAGGTTTAATTTTTAGTATCATTATGAATTTATGGATTTAAATATACCAAGTAGTATCAGTTTATCTGGAAGTTCAGATTTTCCTGTCTTCAGCCAGAGCCTCCTTAGTTGACTCTTGGGTTTGATACAACTTCATTAGTCTGTGAGAGCTTTGCTGCTATCCTAAGGTGTTAAGACATTCTAGACTTGGTTTGTATATATTTTTTAATCCCAGACTTGGAATTAGCCATTTCTCTAAGGATCCGTGTTGAGAATCAGTGTTTAGAGGCTGCAGTTGGGTTCAGGGAGTGGATGTCAATGATGACACTGGTTTCATTGTTTTCAGTGGACTCTAGAGAGGGATGCACATGGATTAGCTTTGTTGGAGATAAAATGCACCATATGTTGATAGTGGCAACTTCCAATCTAAAATAAGAGCCCGGTGCTCTCTAACATCAATTTTGGCAGCAACACTACCCTTTCTCTTTTGTCTGCAGTACAGGGTCTTAACAGTATCATCAACAGTTTAACTTCCAAAACTATTTGAAACTTTTACTTTTTGTTTCTTTTTCTTCTGTATATTAAGGATCAAACCCAGGGCTTCCCACACTGCTTAGACAAGTGCTCTGCCACTGAGCTGAGCAACTTCTCCAGCCAACACTTTAGGTTTTTCCAGCCTGCCTGGTCCTTCTGTTCCAATAGGCATCTACAGTCACTATATTTGAGTCACTTGAAGTAGTACTTCCATAGGGCTTATATTATATTATATTATAGTGAGCTCATTCACTCTCTTTTTCAGTTTTTAGGGTTTACCATTTTAGGTTTTTAATTTTTTGAAATATTTACAAGGTCTCAAAGTCTAAACAAAGAACATTCATAATTTTTTTAATGCATGTCCCTCTACTCTGATCCCTCACCTACAGGAGGCTATCTTGATTTGCTTTTAGTTTATCTCTATTTAAAAATGTACAAAGGGAAACATACCACTTTATGTGAGATCTAAATTTTTTGTAAATTGTATATATTTCTATACATTTGATATTCATTAGATCTAAAAAAATCTTATTCCCCTTATGCTTTTAAAAATATTTTGTTTTAAAAATCTTGTTGGTAGGCAAGAAGGTTTTTTTTTTTTTTTTTTTTTTTTTTTTTTTTTTTTTTTTTTTGGTACTGGGGATCAAACTCTGGCCCTTGTGCTTACGAGGCAGGCACTAGAACCACTGAGCTAAATCCCTGGCCCTGGCAAGAATGTGTTTTAATGATGGGCATTTGGGTTCTTTTTAGACTTTTACTGTTCTAAGCAGTGTCCCCAGGAAAAAACCTAAATATATATCTTTTTGTAAATATTCTTATCTCTTAATCATTCTATCATTCAGGTACACTCTCCTCCAGATGCAATCACAAAAACAGAAGTGTCTGCATTTGAAGATGTTGCCCTTTCTAAGGCAGCACTGTCAGCAGCATGAGAGATGAAGTGCTGGCTGATTGCTCCTGCAGATTTTGTGGCTGTAGTGTATTATGGGTCTTAGGCAGTCACATCTTTTCTCTTCCTTCTCAGAAGATAATTTTATTTATACAAATGATGTTAGAAAACTTTATTGTATTGCAGATTGTATTGGGCTTTTGATTGGGATTGTTTTACCTCTAGATTAATTTGAAGATTGTAGACATCATTGCAGTATTGCATGTTCTCATCTAGAATATGAAATAAGGGATTACAGTTTTACTAAGGTTTCATACATCATTTAATGATTAAATATTTGATTTTCATTAAACTAGAAATTCTCTTTTTTAAAAATGTTTTGAAAAAGATTTTTTTCCTGGTGTATGAGAATGTGATTAATTTGTTGATATTTACCTAATATATGGCTATATAATCCTTTTAGAGAACCTTAGTTTTAGAGCATTTGCTGGCTTAGATATTTTTAGGAAAGACTGGCATGTAATCTTAGTATGACGGAACTGACCCAAAATAGTACTACTATGACCTGTTTAGGCCATTTGGAGACTAGCCTAGTCACACTGAACACATGGAGATTGACTGTGTTGTCTAATAAATTCTCTGTACTAAGAAATGTTTTGAGCCAGGGATTTAGCTCAGTGGTTCCGCTGCCTGCCTCACAAGTGCAAGGTCCTGAGTTCAATCCCTGGTACAAAAAAAAAAAAAGAAATGTTTTGATGATCTACATTGCAGTGTATTAGCCACTAAATTCCAGTGCGCCTGTAGGTGCCATTGGGGTGTATTCCTCCTGGAAAAATGAGGGTAATTGCCTGAGAATCTGGATGGAGAGATTTGCATTGAAGAAAGTTACAGTGAATATAGTAGTGCTTGGCATTTGGGCCTCTCCTGCACCCTGGTTGTTTCAGGAATGGTAGAAATGTCTGTGTATTTATACTTAACAGCAGAGCAGGCTGGGATTCTGATTGTGCTTGTTTTATGCCTTCAGTTACTTTTATCTCTGAACAGCCCAGCCCAGCTTCCTTCTAATCATTGACCTTTATTGAAGAGCTTGAGAAAGTTGTATTACAAGAATACCCACCTTTCTGACCTAAGTGTTTTCTTGTGTAGTCCTTTAACTAGTTTCTTTGTCATCTGTATTTCCTGTAAACAGAAAGTGCTAGAGGCTTGAATGTATTCTGTACTCCATTCCACGTCACACTAGGGGTTCATAATGTTAGGTTCTTTCATTTTAGTGTATCTATATATTTTAAGATTTTATATATAGAAATGATCACAAATATAAGTTATCTAGTAGCCAAATCTTTTGGATATTCTTGTTTTGTCTTTGGAATAGTTGACCAAGATAACACGCACAGGCCCTTCTGCTTGGGAAACCAAAAAGATTTTGGCTGTTTCCTTTGCCCCTCTCATCCAGCCCTGCCACTCAGAGTCAGGAAAGTCCAGACTTGTCCAGCTACGTGAGTACATATATCTTTCTTCTTTTTAAATATTTTAATCTCATTAGAATTGAAAAGGAAGCAAAATTTATAAGATACCTCTTAGTATTAAAGAGCATTTTTCTCCCACTGACATCTTAGAATTGTACAAAGGGTTTTAGGCACTTAAAAATTAAAATTTATTTTTAACCCAGACTAGGTTGTGTTAGCCTTCTTTTAAATCTACAAAGAGCTGCCACTGGTCATGCCATAGAGAATAGGAGACTCACAGAAAAGGGGCTAGTTTGCCATGTGGAAGATTCAGACCGTCTATCCTGTTCGTGCCTGAGTCTGCTCCCCAGAGCATGTTTCACCACAGAGAGATCCAGGGTGGAGAGCACATTCCACCTCACCTGCCAGGTGCAGACAGAAGACTTTATGGAGGTTTGCTTGCTGAGCCTTTGTGTATCACACCTTTAGGGTGCAGACCCAGTAAAGAGCTGGCACCAGGGCAGAATTCATCATAACGTTTTAGAATTTAAACAGCTCACACAGAAATGAGAATTTGAGTTGATTTGAAGTTAAACTACTTATCATTAAAAAATTTTGGAAAAGGAAAGGAAGAAGAGATATTATACCTAGCCCTGGTGTTAGAGATTCCTGTAATCAGGTTCCAGTACCTACCTACCCAGTGTGCGATGCAGGCCTGAGAAAAAGAATGCACTAGGAGACTTACCTAAGAGAGAAACGGGGAGCCAAGATGACCAATGCCAGTGCAACTGACAAAGGTGCTGGACAGTCCTAAGCATTGACTTTTATTGGCAATCAGTGGGGGTAAAGATGACGTGTAGTTTCTATGAAAATTAATGTAAAGAAGGCTCATAAAAGGCAGGACAAAACATTCTCAAATTAGGAACAGAACAGACAAAATATATGATTGCAATTAGAACACTGTCCTTCTAGTCTGAAGGTTTTAGTTGTGGGAACAGAATTTGGGTGTGAGTTACTCTGACCTCAGCATGTAGGCTTCAGCCAGACTCACATCTCAAACAAGCTGATTGTGGGGTTAACTCTTCACAGCTTGCTTTGGGCATAATCAGTATTAGTTCTCTGCACTCTGGCACTGAAAGACAATATATTTTTGGTGAATTTTCTCAGAAATATTTTCTAATTTGTGAGGACTCATTTGTCAAATAGTCACATTTTGCTAAATACAAGTCATATCACATAGGCAAGGTCTTTGCAATTTGATTAACCACCTACAGTGGAACATACAAAGGAATTTAGACCAGGGAATGTTTGATAGAGGATGATGATATTTGTTCTTAGTCTTCAGGGTGAAAAGTAATTCCCTAAAAAAGAGAAAAAGGACCTGGTATTAAAGAGTATTTACCTCTCACTGAAACCTTAAAATTTGTAAGGGAGGCAAAACTAAAAATGCACAGTTTGCACACGCCTGTAATCCCAGGACTCAGGAGGCTGAGGCACGAGGATCGCTGTGAGTTCGAGACCAGCCTGGGCTACATAGTGAGTTCCAGTTCAGTCTCAACTACATAGTGAGACCCCGTCTCAAAAAAACCGAAAAAAAAAAATGTATATTTGCCCTTTGTGGTTAGAGTTAGGATGTATGGGAGGAATTAGGTTGGTATATAGACTAAATTTGAATTCATCATGTAGAAAGATGTTCACATACAGATATAACATGCATGAATTCTCGATACCCCTGCTGGTCAAGTAGAGGGTAATTTTGTTAGATGTGTGCTCTGAAAATGTCTAGTGTGAAACTTTAAGCAGACACTGCTGTTGATAATTGAGGGCATCAGTTTCCAGAGCTGTAGTATAGTTTGGGAAGGGAACAATTCATTAGAGTATTTATGAGATTTTTTTTTTTTTTTGAGAATCTGGTTGAAAATTAGTGACTTTATGTAAGGCTTGATCAGACCTGGATGAGTCTTGACAATGTGTTGGCTACCTTGAGATGCTTGATTTGAGGTGAGACTTTTAAAGCCAGTGTTGGGTGATAAACATTTATGTGATCATATTTAGGGTCCCTGAAGTGAGTAATCAAGTTATTTGAAACTTTGATCCTACTAGGCCAGAGTTTCCTAGATGAGTGAAGGCCGTGAACACAGTGGGATAGAGATGTACCATTAGTAAACACAGCATACAGTGAGTCCCTGTTGTTACTGGTTGGGTGGGGCCAAAATTGTTGGTGTCCTGAACAAAGAACTGGACAAGACCCAGAGGAGAGGTAACAGGGATATACACTTACTGAAAGTGGAATAGAAGGAGTCTCTGCAGAGTGAAAGCTGGGTGGCAGACAGACTCACAGAAGCCCTGAGGATAATGGAAAGGGGTCTTTTATATCCAAAATTCTTGGATTGGCTTCTCACTCATGCAGATAAGGTGTTAGGACAGTTGTCCTAGAGAGAACTCAGTTGGCCTCGTTGCAGAATTAAACTGCCCTGTCCAAAGACTGGCTGGGATTCCTGCCAGATGTAAATGAAAAATTGAAAAGAGCACTTTTCAGTTGGGTTCCGTGTACAGTGCTCAGGAACCACAGAGTCATCCTGGATTCTGTGTCCTGCATGTGTCCCCTGGGTCTTCGTGATTTTGATACATTCCTTTCAGTTGTTGGGCCAGTTTGTCCGAGCCCTCATCTCCTACCTCACTGTGGCTTAGACATGCACTGTGTGAATCCAGCTTCTGAGTTGAATGGATGGAGTGGCAGACTGGAGGCAGGGACCTGTCAGAAAGTAATTGGGATTTTCCAGCCAAGAGGTGAAGATTGAGATGACACTGGCCTCTACAGTGAGAAAGGATCACAGATACATGGTCTTACTGGGGAAAAACGTTGGAGTCTGAGGTGTCCATTTCTACTGTAGCTATGGGTATGGGAGAGGCATGAAATGGAAACCTGGAGAGCTGGTCCCTGTCACTTACAGCCATGGAATGGTTGTAAACCAGCATATGTGCAGAGAGGAGATGGTGGTGGATCTTGGAGCCTTATGGGACACGACTAGATTGGGTAGAAGAGGAGGATCCAGATTGAGGGGCCTGAGTCCCTGGGATGGTGAGGCTAGTGGGCTGTTCCTGGTGGTACCTTAGGGAGAGCTGGAGAGGCCAAAGCTGACACTTAGGAGGTTGGTGGCCCATGAGGGAAACTGTTCCAGCATCTTAGGAGAACAGTTATATTGCAGGGCCTGTGGAACTAACCTTTCTTGAACTAAGTTATTGATTTTTTTTTTTTTTTTTTGTACCAGGGATCAAACTCAGGCCCTTGCGCTTGCAAGGCAGGCAGTGAAACCACTGAGCTAAATCCCTGGCCCTGGAATTGAGTTATTGAGAGCAGGAAAAATGGAAGATCATAGGTGGAGTAAGTTGTGTGACCTAGGTACTTAGGGAAGTGGCAGGACTATATCAAAGGCACTGCTAGATCTTGTTCTGATGAAAGGAGAATGGTCTTCTTGTCCTTGGAGACAGAATCAGGAGAAGCTTATTGATAAAAGATATGGAAGGTGCTATATATTTTTTGCCAAAACCCTTAGAAACAGGCCTATATTCCTCTAGAGCAGTAGAAATTGTCAGGATTCTGTGCAGGCCTCCCTGATTTTGGTAATGTTGCTTTCTTTGCTTTTCAGAGTTAAGAATTAGTATATCTGAAAATGTCTTTTGAAAGGTATTATATGAATGCAAATCAGTGAACTTGCTAACATTTGCTTAGAATACTCTCACATTTTTGTTACATATTTGTAAATATGCCAGTGAGTTCAAATAATATGAGGACGTTTGGATGTTTGCGCCTTGTTGTGTTATCACTCACAGTCGCATGTGCCCCTCTTGTTCTTGTGTTGAAGCACCACTTGCTGTGCGCAGTCTCCAGGACTTGGCCCGGATTGCCATCCGGGGTACCATTAAGAAGATCATTCATCAGGAAGCTTTGAGCAAAAGTGGACATGGACTGAAGAACACCCCCAGGTTTAAACGAAGGAGGATCCGCCGCCGTCAAATGGAAACAATTGTCTTTTTGGACAAAGAAGTCTTTGCCAGTCGTATTTCCAACCCCTCCGATGACAACAGCTGTGAAGACTTGGAAGAGGAACGGCGGGAAGAAGAGAAGACCTCAGCAGAAACCAAGCCAGACCCTCCGGTGAACTTCCTCCGCCAGAAAGTCCTGAGCCTTCCTCTGCCAGACCCCTTGAAATACTACTTGCTTTATTACAGAGAAAAATAAATCTCCCAACTGAAAAGGGGAAGTGAGAAAGAGCCAATTTCAAGCCTGACTGTGCTGCCTGTCTGCTACTGAGGGGTCTCCTGGGAGCAGATGCCATGGGGAAGGAAACTGCGATACCCATCCATATTGTAATTTTCTTTTTCTAGTTCTTGATTGTTCTCTAAAATTTTGATTCAGTAATGTGATTTATTTGAACATAATCTGATAAGACATAAGAAGAGTGCTTTCCTCAAGTGGGGGAGATCTTATCTCCCTCTGCCGACACATGTATGGTGGGATCTTAAACTCCTGCACACCAGGTGCATGTTACACATTACAAAGAATGAAGTCAGGACTACCCTGTGTGAAGCAAAGCACAAGTTTGTAAATGTATAAAATCCTTTTCAGTTTACCATACTATGTCTGAGTTTGAATTTTATGATAAGCAACCTCTTAATTACTGGCACTGAGTTCCACTGAACTTTTTGAGTTTTCTGAAGGGGGAAATAATATAGAGAAGTCATTCTTATTCTAATGAAACTAAATGTTATGTGAATTGTCAGCTATAAGTTTCAAAAGGAAAAATTATGCTCAGGGGAAGGAGGAATAAAAGTATCAAACTGCCAGATATCTTTCTGGAATTTTGAAAAGTTTCCCAAGAATTTTTTTTTCTGACATCTTTTGTTCCCTTTAAAAGAGCCACTCACTGTCAAGTGAACTCTTAGGGTTAGGGTTAGGTTTTTTATTTTAAAGATATATGTAAGTAATAAACTAAATTAATTTTGCCCTAACCACACCTAACTTTAGAGACCGTAATGGCTTTTAAGGGTGCTGACATGCTCAGTTCTCAAAAAACATGCCATCGGTATTAAGACTTCAAGAAATGGATTAGAGAATGTTATAGACAGCCTGTAACCTTTTTTACTTTAGTTTGCTATCTTTTTGTGATCACATTAGAGTGCTGATTCATAGATTTTTATCTTTTGTAATTCTGGAGAAAAAGAGATTGCTAGTTTTGTAAATTTTCTTCAGAACCAAATGTATGTATTTTGGTAGCTCCATTGCATTAGCACAGTTTAACTGAGTAACTTGTGAAATCCATCTTCTCCAGGCCTTTTGTATTGAGAGCTTTTTATCAAGTTGTGGGTCTAGAAAACAAAACAATCTTTCTAGCAGTCTTATATGGCAGAATGATTTGAAGTTACATTGGTAATTCTAAAACAGTGACTCATCGAAGACTTTTTTTACCCCAGAAAAGAATAGTGTAAATTATCAATCACAATCCCAAACTCAAATGTTGATATAGGATTAAGTACTGAGATTTTATGCTTCAGTTCAACCGTAGCCTTGTTACTTGCTAGGAGGGGTTTGATGTCTCTGCTTCCTCTAGCTTAAATGGTTATTTTGTACTTTTGCTGCTTTTTTAGTAACTGAATCATTCACCATGAGGTACAGTCTGCATGCATAGCTGGGAAAACATACACATTGCCCTAGATTGCTAAATACAAGCTATTCAAAGAAAGTTAATTCATAATTGTTTTTGCCTGCCTTTTAAACTCAAAGTCAGACCTCTTTCTTTCAGAGAGAAATGCATGATTTAAGTTTACTTGCTAATATTTTGTAGTTTGCATATCCTTGTTGACACTATTTTAATTGATACTTAGCTTCATTGTTACATGGAAATTTTTGGACATAATATTAAATGAATGCTATCTGTGAAATATGTCATATTAGGTGGCTTGATTAAATTTTTTCTGTAATTGTATGTGGATTACATTAAAAAAAAACAAAAAAACCCCACACATTTGGCTGGGCGTGGTGGCGCATGCCTGTAATCCCAGCACTTGGGAGGCTGAGGCAGGAGAATCACTGTGAGTTTGAGACCAGCCTGGGCTACATAGTGAGTTCCAGGTCAGTCTCAACTACATAGTGAGACCCTATCTCAAAACAAAACAAAAACAAAACAAACCACATTTGCCTTTATACCAGATTATAAAAAATCATTACAATGTATGAAACATGTTTTCCATTATATGTTAAAATTTTCTTAATATTTTGTCTTTACATCTTGTCAGTTTGTGTAAACATAATTGTAATATATGTGAGAAATAGGTTGCTATTTATCTTGTAAAGGAAAATTGTAAATAAGTTTTCCTGTGATTAAGTACCTTATAACCAGAATTCAATATAGTACACTACTTCTGTTTTCAACAGATAAATCATAATATAAACTGTATTGTCTGCAAGATAGATATTGTAACCCCATTCTTAACAACTTTTATTTTTTGAGTAGTCTGTATTTAACGTGAGTTCTGTCTTGAAAAGTAGTAAAGCCATAGATATATGCAAAGCAAAATTTAAATTTATACAAGGTATGTAATTTAAAAATCAGATGTGTACATAAAAATACTCAGATTGGGTGTGGTAGCACATTCCTGTAATCACTGCACTCTGGGAGGCTGAGGCAGGAGGACTATAATTTGAGCCCAGCCTGGGCAACTTAGTGAGGTGCTGTCTCAGAAAGGTTGGGGATATAACTCAGTGTAGAGACCTTTGGTTCAATCATAAGTACTGCAGGAACAGAACAAAACCCAACAACAAAAGCTTCGGTCAGTTTGGAATTTATGGGGCATTGATTTAATGAGAATACACACAAATGAATCAATAAAGGAAATTAAGAGATTTTGTTCTCAGCATTGCTTCTGTATCTTGTATGGGATTTAAATTCTTGACTACATTTTTGAAAGAAATCTTAAACATACCTTTCCCCCCTTATTTATGTGTTTTCTTTCACTAGATACTTGTATTGCTTAATTTTGTAACATTCGTAGGTTTAGGAAAGGCCAGCCATTGTTTCTAATTAATGTGAAATTGGAATGGACAAATGGAAAAGTGTTTTGAGAATATATTTCCCATATTTTGAGAATTTCAAGGATGGCAATGGTCTTAAATTACAGAAAGTATTTGCTTCCATTGTAGGGTTTGTATATAAGTTCATATATATAAAGTCTGCTATATTGAAGCTAAATGCCAGGGTTGAAGATAAATCTAGTTTCAGCCTTATACAAGAAATACAGAATTGGTGGATCAATGGAGTGAAGGGTATGAACATGAGAAACAAATAGGAAGGGGCTTAATGAAGTATCAAGAATCAAACTGGGCGTGGTGGCGCATGTCTGTAATCCCAGCACTCGGGAGGCTGAGGCAGGAGGATCGCTGTGAGTTTGAGACCAGCATGGGCTACATAGTGAGTTCCCGGTCAGTCTCAACTACATAGTGAGACCCTGTCTCAAAAAACCA